AGAGTCTGAGGGTTTTAACTGGTGATGAAAGCCGGGAGGAGATCGGATGAAGGTTTCTGTTGGCTCTCTCTCTATATAAATATATATTATCGATCTTGCCTTCCATCTTGTGTTGCTTCTATTCCTTGTGTGGGCAAGAAAAAAAAAGGACACATACGACACACCACGTATCTATTCAAGAAAAATGTCTGAGAAAGAATCCCGTATTCTTGATTCTGTCCTTGATGCCATCGGCTCCACACCGTGCATCCGATTAAATCGGGTTCCACAGAAGCACGGCGTGTGCTGTGAGGTTGTCGCGAAGTGCGAGTTTTTTAACCCTGGTGGAAGCGTAAAGGACCGCATTGCTCGGGAGATGATCCTTGATGCGGAGGCGACTTCGCCCCAATGACACGCTTATCGAGGCATCGAGTGGAAACACCGGTATTGGGTTCAGTATGGTGGCAGCAGTCAAGGGTTATCACATGATTATCACAATGCCAAAGAAGATGTCGCACGAAAAGGAGGTGACACTACAAGCTCTGGGAGCGGATGTGATACGGACTGAGACATCGTTGCCATGGGATCATCCAGAAAGTCTTATTGGTCTGGCACACCGATTGGAAAAAGAAAAGGGATATGTTCTACTAGATCAGTACACCAACCCAAGCAATCCAAAGGCGCACTACAACGGCACAGCGCAGGAAATTTTTGATCAGTGCGGTGGGAAAATCGATATGGTGATTATCGGGGCTGGAACTGGGGGTACAGTGGCTGGTGTTGGAAAACGACTAAAGGAGTTGCTGCCCAATATTATTGTGGTTGGTGTGGATCCGATTGGAAGTATTTTGGCGGATCCTACTGCCCCTCAGAAGGAGAATACACCGTATCTTGTTGAAGGCATTGGCTACGACTTTGTGCCGGATGTTTGTGAAAGAAAGTATGTTGACAAATGGATTAAATCTGCCGACAAGGAGAGTTTTGCGCTAGCCTCGGAAATTCACCGTGACGAGGGTCTGCTCGTAGGTGGCAGCAGTGGTTCCGCAATGTGGGGGGTACTACAAGCAGCAAAGGATCTTCGGCCCGACCAACGCTGCGTGGTGGTGTTCCCTGACGGCATCCGAAACTACATGACAAAGTTCCCCAACAAGAACTGGTTGATTGAAAAGGGGCTCGAAGAGGGCGAGGTGACGCGCCCAACATATGAAGCACTTCAGGCGCAGTTGGAAGAAGCAAAGAAGAAATTGGCTGAGTATGAGACCAAGTAAGGCATCGAAATGAAAAAGGAAGAATCTGAAAACATATGGGACTGGCCTTCTACCAAATAGCGGTAGACGAACAAGCCATGCGTCTACTTGAGCGAATATAATTCTATTATTGCAACGCAGGAGGCGGAAAAAAAAATTTTACTCATTGGGGTCGCATGCTATTGTGCCTGACAATGGTATTATTCGTTGGGGAAAAAAAGGGTATTTGTGTGGTTGCAAGGCTGTATTGACGAGTACTGAACCACCTGAATGGGGACCGTTTGCCAGAAATGATGGAATCTGGAAGCGGCGAATAGCTGTTAGGGGATTTATTTTGCATTTTACCAATGAGTGTCAATTACTCCTTGTCTTGTTTTCTTTTTTTTTTTTNCCCCCCCCCCCCTTTGACCGGCTCTTACCACTCCGGGGGTGCTTGCAAGCGCAGTTGCCTAGCGACGTTGTCAATCTTTCGTTGGTGTGGTGGTCATGGATCCGTATGCCTCACTCGGGTTCGTGTCATGCCATATCGCCCTTGTGTACTCATCCTCTTCTTTTTTTTCGTCTGTGTGTTTGTGTGTGTGCCATTTGAGCGAGATGAGTGCAGATGAAAGAACGCGATATGACCGCCAGGTCCGTCTGTGGGGCAAAGCCACTCAGCAGCAGCTGCAGTTGACCGAGGTGCGTGTCAATGGGGTGGCATCCGCTACGGCAGAAGTCGCGAAGAACTTGGTGCTGGCTGGGGTGCGCTCGGTTGTGGTGGAAGACGAGTCCACCATTGACGCCACGGATCTAAAGACCAGCTTTCTCGTACAAGGCTGCGATATAGGTCAGAGTAGGGGAGGCGCGTCCACCAAACGGCTTCAGTCACTCAATCCATACGTCGCTGTTCACTTGGCCCAAAATACGGACGGCGCGAGGGCAGTGACGACGACCGGAGCCCCATTCCGTGTCACCATCGCCCGCTTCAAAAGCATCGCTGAGGCATTCCAGGAAATTCACAACCCACAAAACACAGTGACAGATCTTGTGGTTCTTGTGGCGAATCTTGGCTACCTCACAATGGGTCTCCTGCTCCCAAGGAGAGGGAAGTTTCTATACAAGGAACAGCTGAACTTGCTTCTCGAAACCAACGTTTCCTGCAGACCGGCCGTCTTTCAACGATCATTGCTGCTACTAAGGATGATGGAATGCCCTGCTGGATTGACCTTCTTTGAAAGACTTGCCTTTGCGAGTGGGGTCGTGGTTAAGCACAACCTTAAGCAACTGTCACGGGAGGATGTGGAGTTCGCAGCTGGTGTATCGCCTCAGCACTTATCGGGTACTGCGATTGAGTCGACTATCGCAGGAGGAGTGATTGCACAGCTCATCATTCACGAAGTCGGCTCTGCAAAGGCTGCGCTTCCCTCCAACGAAAGCTATGCGTGGGCCGTGTGCAACAATAACGGAGCTACAAACGTCCAGGTGGGACATCTGCTCCCTCGGTAGGTGCTCTTCACGTTCACAGTGTCTGTTCTGAAACGTCGTGGGGGTGCCGTTACCCACTGGACACGTGTTGCGGGTTTCTTGATGGAGTGCTTGCCAACGCCGCGGGGTAAACGCACGCAGACACAAATTCACTTCTCTCTCTCTTTCACATATTGTGGGGTGCAGGTTCCCTTTTTTGTATTGCTTTACCGAAGAAGCCAATGTCAAGGGAACTGGCTGTGGTTGTGCTTGGGGCCACCGGCTACACCGGCCAGCTGGTCTGCGAGTATCTCGCGGGTCTGGGTCGCAGTGTCGTCGGTCCTTGGGCGATTGCAGGCCGCAGCGAAGCGAAACTCAGCAAACTGAGGAGCGAACTGGATGTGAACGTCTCCATTCTCGCCGCAGACTTCAGCGACCCCAGCTCTCTGGACAATGTCTGCTCCCGCACCAGCGTGCTCATTTCTTGTGCCGGCCCCTTTACGCAGGTGGGGATGCCTGTTGTGGAGGCGTGCGTTCGCTGCGGCACGCACTACGTGGATTCAACTGGCGAGTACAACTTTGTCCGTGAGGTGATTGGGCGATTCCACGAGGAGGCAACGAAGAAGGGTGTTGCGGTGGTGTCTTGTTGCGCCTTTGACAGCGTTCCTTCAGATCTTGGCAACTACGCTGTGCATCAGGGTCTCGGTGCGCACGTAAAGGAAGTGAAGGCGTTTTACCGCTTGTCAAGCAGCGGTGTTTCGGGCGGGACGGCGCGGTCCGTCTTGGCGGTGCGGGACGCGTGCGGCCCGGAGGACATGGACCCGTACTGCCTGGTGCCGAGGAATGCCCCGCACCCTTCCGCGGCGCCGACGCAGAGGGGAGTGTGGTACGACGCGTCTGAGAAGAAGCTGACGGGACCGTTCGTGATGGCTGCCACCAATGAGCGTGTTGTTCGCCGCACCAATGCACTGCTTGGGTACGACAGCACGTACGCGGAGGCGATGGAGGGGACGCTGTGGAGCGTTGTCGGGGCTGCCTTCATAAAGTACGTGTCGCTGGCCGTCACTTCTGTGGCGTTCCTCCGCCGCTACGCCGCTGAGCACTGGCTGCCGCCTGCCGGAAGCGGTCCCACCAAGGAGCAAAAGGAGCTGTCGTGGTACAAGTGCGACTTCATTGGCATCGACGCAGCAGGCAAGAGGCTGCGGAGGGTCTGCGTCTCGGACAAGAGGGACATGTACACGGCGAGCGGTGTGTACATTGGTGAGTGTGCCCTCAGTGCGCTGGAGATGGCAAAGAACGGCACCCTGACAGCCGGTGTGCTGACGCCCATGACGGCATTCGGTGGCGTTCTCCTCCGCCGCCTTCAAGAGGCCGATGTGGTTGTCGAGGTGGTCGACGAGGCAAGCGAGGACACAACGCCCGCCGAAGGCTAGCGCGTGTCTGCGGCCATGGTTATAATTAACTTTTTTTAAAAAAAAAAGGGACCAATGAATCACTGCCATCCCTTGCGGCATGAAACACACTGAAATAGATACTGCACTGCTATTCTGTGCGGCTCTCACGGTGTATTCCTTTGACGCGGTGAATTGTTATTTCCATTCTCTCTTCCACCGAAGTTGCGCATGGGGCTTGCAAAGGCACGGGCTATTCAGCTTTCCGCCGTGTGTGTGGTGTGTGTGCTGTGCACTGCGGCGGTGAAGGTGGCGATGGCGACAGGGGACGATGGTCCTGGTGCGGCGTTCGCGTACGACGCTGACCGGGTGAGGCGCACCACCTGCTGCGACCTGGTAGGGCGGCACTGGCCGCTGCTGCGTCGCTGGCACCGTGACTGCGCTGGTGGCAGTGCGACGCTGGCGGGAAAGCTTGGCCGCTTCCAGGCGTCCCTTGCCGCTGCCGCAGAGCTGAGCGGCGGGACGAAGGTGTGCGACGAGAAGAAGCGCTCCCTCGGTGCCGGGTTCCTCGGCGCCTTCGTCGAGCAGCGCCTCTGCGTAGGCCTCCCTTCCACGCACACGGAGCTGGTGCGAAGTGTGTACGGTGTCTTTGTGGCGGAGAACCCCCTCGCCGAGGATGACCTCACCACCCTCATCAGCGAGGCGTGCGCCGGAGTCCAGCGCGAGGGAGTCGAGGCATGGCGCCGCTCTCTGCAGCTGCAAGCCGTGCGGGAGGCGCAGCGGGCCATTTGCGTGCACGAATGCCTCATGACACACTCTCCGTTTGATGGTGAGGCGTACGATCTTTGAGCTCGCGCCGTGTGTGTTGTGTGCTTTTGGGCACTGTTCCGTCTCCATTCCTGCAGCCTGGTGTGGTGCTCAAGGTTGTCGATGCATTGTCTCCCCCACTGATTTGAAATAGCCCGTTTTACTGCTTCTCGCCAAACCACCAGAAAGCACATACACACACACACACCCTCGGAGACACAATGCACCGACATCCACACACCTCGCTGCTGCTGCTGGTGGTGTGCTGCGCCAGCGTGTGTCTCGCCGCCGAGCCGTATCAATGCACGTTCGACGATGTGGTGAAGAGGGGTGGCCCACAAACGATTGCTGTGGTGAAGGAGGTGCCGCCCAACGGACAGAACGGATGGCAGGCGTACACGCTCTCCGCAACGGTGGGGGAGGAGAGTGAGTGGAAGCCGATCCGCATCCTTGTGTCCACAGAGGATCTGAAGGATCCGACCAAGTACTGCAACGAGACGACACCGGAGGAGAAAAAACCAGCAACAAAGTCGGCAAAATCCAAAACGGCGGTTGCACTCACAGCGGAAGGAACTGAAGAAAGAACGGTGGTGAAACGCCCGGACTTTCAGGGCCGCACTGTCACATGCAAAGAAGCAGATCTCCTCACCGCTCAACGCAAGGCCGACCTTGCCGACAAGATCCTCCCCGCGGCAGTTAAACTGCACACAGACCGTCTGCTCGTCAAGCGCTTGGCCAAACCGTTTATTGTACCCAAGTTCGACGAGAAGAGTATGTGCAGCAAATTCAAGGTGCCTGATGACCACCGTGCGGCAGGCAAGGGTGTTAATGCTGACATGGTGCTCTACGTGGCGGCTGGGCCGGGAGCTCCATTCGCCCTTCCCTGCGCTGTACTGGACTCTCAAGGGAATGGGCGTCCCGTTGCTGGCGTCATGAACTTCCCGCCCTCCGGCTTCCGTGACTTGCGTCTCGCCGTCCGAATCGCTGCGCACGAGATTGCGCACGCACTTGGATTCACGAACAGACGGATGGTGGCCCTTAATATGGTCTCCTACTCTGTCGCACGCGGCCGTAATCGCCCCATGGTGAAGTCCAAGATGACACTCGAAAAGACTAAGACGCACTTCGGCTGCAATACAGCAGGGGGCATGGAACTCCAGGAATGGATCGATGGGAGTGTGACGTCGCACTGGTCGAGGCGCAACGCGAAGGACGAGCTGATGAGTGCCCAGATCGGCAGCCGCGGCGGGTACTACACGGCGCTGACGCTGGCGGCTTTCGAAGACATGCCGTACTACAGCGTGAATTGGAGCATGGCGGAGCCGATGGCATGGGGCAAAGATGTTGGATGCGGCTTTCTGTCCAAGGCGTGTGCAGTAGAGGGCCTTACTAAACACCCCCGGATGTTGTGCGAGGGAAAAAAGGAACCGACAGAACTCACGAATGCCACGCTAACGGAGATATCAAACAGGATACTAAGAAGACAGCCCTCTCCGAATAAAGGGGTGGACTTCTGTACATCTGATCGCCTTGCCGTTGGGCGTTGCTCTGCGTTTACAGGTGATGTTGGTGAGTTTGGGGACACGTGTCCAACTATTGCACCGTATCTGAGCAGCAAGGGTGGCTCTCTTGTTACCAGTACATGTGGCTTGAAACAGGAAATGGATTTGTCTGCATTACTTGCTGCGCCGCTTCCTGAGAGTAATTCGTGGTGCCTGGATACGGTGGCGTCGACTTCAGCTACGGAGGTGAGCGTTACTCCTCCAATTACCGGTGGTGTGTGTGCAAATGTGAAATGCATCGACGGCAGCAAGGTGCAGGTGCAGCTGGAAGGGAGCGACGGCACTAAGGGGTGACAGAACTGCCCTGAGGGCAAGTCCATTGCGCTGAAGACGACGACGACGACGACTTCCTTACAGGGAAAAAGTATTCTGTGCCCCAAGTTCAACGAGGTGTGCACCATCAATGCCAACGGAAGCAGCATTCTTGTCTCCGGGTATGTGGAACCGCCACCGGTACATGAGCCTGCACCCGCACCTCCGCCTGAGCCTGAACCCGTGGCAACCGCACCTCTGAAGGAATCCTCAATTCCTGAAGACAAACCTGCCGCTGGGGATCAAGCATCAGAGGACACAGTGGGGAACGCGACGCCTGGCACTACAGACACCGCCTCCACGCCTGAGCAACCAGCTACGAATGCCGCTCTTTCCGGTGGGAAGACTGAGGAAGGCGCAAAGCAGGTGAATATTGAGATTGCTGCTGCGGCGGTGACCGTGTCAAATTTGACTGGCGAGCCGGACGTGACTGTCAGCGGCACTGCTGAGCTTCGGAAAGGTGACGGCAGCGTGGCTGCTGCTGCTGGCCTCGGCCCTCTTCTGCTTCTTGCCGTGGCTGCGGCGGTGGCGGCGCCTGTGTGAAGCAGCGACAGGAAGCAGCCCACAGGGTCAGCGCTCTGTGCAATGCGGCACCCAACGGAGCCCACACACAACACAGCTGCATCTGGAAAAAGGTAAATCCCCACACATCACCCTTCTTTTTTGCTCGTTCACGCTGAACAATGGTAAACCCTTCCCTTCTTATCTTTGCTTGTTGAGCACAACGACACGGTTTTGTCGCCCAACACTCTGGACAAAGCAGGGAGCAACCCACACCATCGGGGTGCATCTCTTTTCGGAGAGAGCCATGCAACATCGCAGGCATCAAGTGACACTGCGGCAGCGCACGGCTTCTGTCCTTCATCCCTCTGCTTCGGCTTCACGCATTAACTCTCTTTTAATGGGGCGCGGCCCTTTCGAAGGGAAAGTGGAATTCACACCGTGAGTGGGCTGCCTTTCCTTCGGCTCCACGGAAATGGCTTCCTTGTTTCTGGGGATGAACTGAGTGCTTGTGTGTGGGGCGGTGTTGCTGCGTTTGCGACGGTGCCTGTTGTCTGTAGTTTTCTCGCTCACGTGTTGCGTTACGGTTGCTTGGGCTGCACAAGGGTGGGCGCTCGCTGCGCTGCGGTGTGTCGGCTGGGTGGATGGCGTGGCTCGGAGCAGTGCGGCGGCGCTGACTGCAGCATGGGCTGCGAGGTGGACGACCCCAACTGAATGCTGACGGACCGAACGACATGTGCAGCGACGGGGGTGGTGCTTTTCGGTGGCGATGATCCACATGATCAACCACGCCGCTCACGCGTTCGAGGAGGAGTGCGTGCCGGGGTCGTTCAAGGAGTCGTACGACGCGTACGCGTTGATGTTCGCGATGATTGCGGCAATACTGATTGAGTCCAATGTTGAGTGGCACTGCAACAGTCCCAGCGCTGTTCGGTTTGTGCTGCTGCTGTCTTGCTTCAGTGGTTTCTTGGTGTTTTCTTATTTCTCTTCACCTCCCCCCTCGCCTCTGTGTGGCATGTATGTATGTGTGGCCCGAAGTAGTCAAGTTCGCTCAAGCGAGAAAGTTCAGTGGCCCCCTCCACACACAAACGCCATGTCGCGTGTCCCGATCAGCGAGGAGCAGGCGCAGCAGATGCTCATGAAGCAGCAGGCGCAGCAGGAGCGCGCGGAGGCGATGAGCGAGCAGAAGGAGAGTCTGCTGCGCGCCTTCGTCAGTGCGGAGGGGCGCGAGCGGCTGAAGCGCATTGAGCAGGTCCGCGCCGACCGTGCCCACGCCGTCGAGGCGTACATCATCCAGTCGGTGCGCCAAGGGAAGCTGCAGCCACCCGTCTCGGATGAGACGGTGCGCGAGATCTTGGCGCAGGTCTCCTCGCAGGGCGCGGAGGCGAAGAGCAACATCACATTCGCGCGGAAGCGCATGGATGACGACTGGTAGTGCGGCGGCCCGGCGACACGTAGATAGATGCCTGTAATTAACATGAGCAACGTAAAACGGTTGGGGAGATACATATGAAGAGAGGGGTAGCGAGAGAGAGAGAGAGAGAGCGCGAGAGAGAAGGGGAAGGAATCAGTGCCTTTGTGTGTATGTTTCGCTGTATGAAAGAATATCCCCTGTGATGTCTCGTTGTTTGTTGTTGTTGTTGTTGTTGTCGTTGTGAGGGCCCCTGCACCACGAACCGCAGTGCGGCGCCACACAGCCGCGTTGGTTGGGGCTGTGCGGGTGTCACGCTGCTGTCGCTGCGGCGGGAGGGGCGGGGGGTGGGGCTGCACTTCTCTTCACTTCCTCCACGACGGCTAGAAATACAAAAAAGGGAACAATAATAATAATAATAATAATAATAATAAATAGAGTGAGCTTCGGCGCGGGCTGCATTCTCTGCGAAACCGCTGAGCTCTTGTTGTGCGTAGCTACCGCCCTTGCCATCTAGGGAGGCACACCACGCACACTCCGGACGGGACGTTGCGGTACTCACACGCGTAGGGGCGACGAGGAGTGACGCCGTGGGGGAGGGAAGAGGAGAGCGATGCCGAAGCGTCACCGCCAGCCGGAGCCCCTTCAGACCTCACAGAAGCAGCAGCAGAAGCAAGAACAACAACAGGAGCGCATCGAGGACTACGGCGACGACCCGCAGGAGCAGGTGAGCTGCAGCAGTGACGAGTTCCACAGCAGCGAGATGGGCGACGACGGCAACGTCTCCTCAACGGCGGAGAGCCTCAACGACGACACCGACAGCTCACCCATGATGATGGGCAGCGACAACGACGACGACGATGATGACGACGCCAGTCTCATTAACGTGGATTTTGGCGTGTTTGAGATGAAGCCGCGTGACGTGGATGCCGTGATGCATCTCATGGACCAGCTCTGCCCCGACAAGATGAACGAGGTCGACCGCGACGAGTTAGGCGCCGTGCTGCACGCGAGTCCTTTCACATGCGTCGTGAAGATCGGCAGTGACGACGACGACGACGACAACGACGAGGATGATGCTAACGATGAGGATGAGGGCGACAAGGACAACGACAACAAGGACGGCGACGCCGAAGAGGAGGAAGAGATTTACGGCATGGCGAGCATTCTCGACGTGGCGCACGAGTCCCGCCTGGGCCTGCTGCTGCAGCTGCTGAAGAGTGACGTCTGGCGCACCGTGGCGCCGGGGATACTGCCGACGGACATGCTGACCTCCGTCGACGACGCGACGGGGAAGGCGAAGTGCGTGCTGCTTGTTGGTGAGTACATCCGCAACGTGCCGCTGGAGCTTACCTCTCACATCCTCAGCGACCTGGTGGGGCGCTTCGAAGCCGCCTTCAACCCCAAGAGCTCAGCCGACGCAGCCGCAACAACGGCAACAGCGTTGGAGGCCGCAAAGACAACCGTTCAGGCGACGTTCCCATGCATGTTTGCGCTGCTTTCAAAGATACAGAGGGCGGTGGATGTCCCTGTCACGACGGCAACAACAACAACAACAACAACATCGGGGGCAACGAAGCACGAGCCACCACAGAAGAAGAAGCGGCGGCAGAGCATCTCACAGCAGGAGGAGTTTGACATGAGCCGCTACATTTTCTGGCGCGAGGAGGACTCTATCCTGTATGAGTACCGAGACAAACGCATCGCCACGGTGGCGTACCGCTGCCGCCCACAGTACGACACACAGCCGGAGAACGACCTCCCCGTTTCTATCCTGTACGTGGTGCCGTACGGCGGTTTGCTGCAGGCGGTGGCAGAGATGAAGAAGCGCGAGGCCACTCAAGCCAATGTTGTGCGCTATTGAATCTAGCAGCACCAGCGACTAAGCGTCCATCCCAATCGGTTTGAGGGCAACTAAGAAGACATGTGACGGTGGCTGTGGCTCTGCAGGGGAGGAAAAGACGGCATGGCTCGTGTTGCGGTACCGCTGGGGTGGCGTCTGCCTCTACGTTTCAAATGAAACGAAAGGGCGTAATGAGAAGGGGGTGAGCGGGGGGGTGACAGCGGGGAAGTAACGGCAGGTTGCCGTTGCCTGTCTCGCTCCACACATCGAAAAAGGACACGCACCATGGCATTTGTGCGATATGGGTAAGAAGACAAAACAAAAAAAGCAACCGCGCCTGTTTCCTTTCTGTTTTCACTTATCTGCCTACACACCTTCTCTTCTTGTTGTCGTTGTTTTCTTTGCCTGCCCCCATTCTTTCGTTCCACTATGCTGCGTGTCGCTTGCGCGGCGTGGGGGAAGGGGGCCGCATTGAGTCCCCCGCCTCTCCCCTTTTGCGCCCTCCGCAGCGTCAATGGCGGCAGCGGCGATGTCCGGCGAGGCGCTCGTCGCGCACGTACTGAGCACCAACGGCGACGCGACGCGGCTGTTTGGCACCGGAAGCCTGACAGAGGAGTTCGCACTCAAGCGCGCGTACAAGGCGATGGCGCTGCGCCTCCACCCTGACAAGAATACACACGCCGGCTCGCACGAGGCATTCCAGCTGATGCAGCGGGCCTTTGAGGCCGCACTGGAGTCACTGCGGTCGAGGGCGCCGGCGCCAGCAGCAACGCATGCGACGCCACCACCTCCCCCACCCCCGCAACAACGACAGCGGTCTGCTGCTGCTGCTGCTGCTCGTCCTCCGCCCTCTGATATTTACCAGCAACAACCACAAAAACAACGCGAACAGCAGCAACGTGGTGCGTTTTCGGATAATGACCTCTTTGAGATACCGCTCCCACCTGATGTTTTTGGTGAATTCACGGTACCCAGTGGAGCAGCAGCAGCAGCAGCAGCAGAAGCGACTGAACAACAAGGGTCCAGACCACTGGAAAGGTGCACGAAGCCGCTCCCCGCATTGGATCTCTCTAGTAGTGACGGCGACAACAACGACGACCACTGGGATGAGAGGGTCTGTCAGACCCCCAGGCGTGATAATGAGCAGGAAGGTGTGAAGAAAGAAAAAAAGACTGCGGAGCGACGGGCGGTGCGGCATCAGAAACGGGATGCGAGTCGCAGCAGCCTGAAACAATTATTCGCAGAGTTCAATATATCGGATGACGAGGGAGAAAAAGAACAGGATCATCACCCGGGCGGCAGCAGCAGTAGCGGGAGAGGCACGCATAGGGAGCCATGCTCAGCTCCACCGCGGCAACAACAGGAGCAGCCCAACAGTCAAAGGGCTACCACAAATAAAGTTTGTGCGACGGTGGCGTGTCCGTCTTGTGGTGCAGGAAAATTCCCTGTCCAAATTATGGCGGGCGTGGTGTGCCCAGCGTGCCGTTTTCAATTTGTGCCCACCGCTGTAAGCATGATGGCTACGGAGCGTCATGCGACTGGGCGTAAAAAGGGAAATGCTTCGCTGGGAGAGATGTGCGCATGTGGTCGAGCAAAGAAAGGTCTGTGCTTTCTCTGCAACTGACACATTTATATGGCATATACTTCCTTGTTCACGGGCATTCGGCATTGCCACGATGATGTTGGGGTTTGCGTATGTGTGTGTGTGTGTGTGTGTGTGCTGACGAGAATGTGATATGACGTTGGGGTGGAAGCCAAGCGGCTGTGGATTAATGATCCTTTCATNATATGGCATATACTTCCTTGTTCACGGGCATTCGGCATTGCCACGATGATGTTGGGGTTTGCGTATGTGTGTGTGTGTGTGTGTGTGTGTGTGTGTGCTGACGAGAATGTGATATGACGTTGGGGTGGAAGCCAAGCGGCTGTGGATTAATGATCCTTTCATGAGTGCTCCTGGTCATTTTTGTTTCTGTTTCCCCCCTGTGCTCCACAACACCCTGGACAGGATCCATAGGGGAGTGCAGGATAGTTCCATGTCTGGGGTTCGCATCCCTGTTGTGGGTCGAACCTACAATGTCCTGTGTCCTATTTGTAGCAGCAACGTCTCCTTTGACTGCCGTGGCACATCCGTGTACGGTATTCAATGCCACATCTGCCACACCGTCGTTGATCTGCGCAACCCTTCTGTGCCGCTGCCGCCCAATGACACGGGCGAACTGCCGGACAACGGCGGTAACAGCATCTGCAGCCCGGTTCGTTACTCTCCAGAAGTAGAGGAGTCGGGAGGCTTCTCTGCAACGGCGCAGCTCTCCATGGTCATCGCAAGTGCCGTGGAGGAGCAGAATAAGGAAATGCCGACCACCATGAATGGCGAAACATCGCAGGCGTTCTCTGCACGTCGAATGCAAGCCATGTCGGAGCGATTCTCGTTTTTGTACCCGCTCGTTTATGCTCTAGAGTTCATTGTCTTTGGCACCAAGCCCGCCGCGAGGATTGGGCACGTGCGCGTCTTTCAGAAGCGCTTGCCGTTTGTTGGGGTGGTGAATGTGCCTGTGCCTAAGACCTCCCCGTCGTACTCCATGCCTCTCACAGTCTTCATTCTTCTGTTTTCTGGCACAACGTGGTACGCGCGCTCCGTCGACGACGAATGGATGTGGCATATGCACGCATACGTCTCTGTGCTGGCGGTGCTCTTCTTGCTGCTGATGCCGATGAGCGTGTACACCGACCCCGGCTTTGTACGCCCCGCGTACCTGCTGCACCGCGACGGTCATGCCGGTGAGTTGACGCTCAAGGACATCGAGTTGCAGCATCGCGAGAGCCTGTGGGAGACAGTGGACGGAGAGCAGGTGGAGCGCAAATGGTGCTCGACGTGCGAGATGCACCGCCCGCCGCGCGCCGCCCACTGCTACCTCTGCGGCCTGTGCGTGCTGGAGCACGACCACCACTGCTCCGTCATCGGCGCCTGCGTGGGGCGCCGCAACCTGCTCGTCTTCTACGCGTTCGTCGCGGCCAGCTCCGCACTGGCGCTCGTCGCCGGCGGCAGTATGGCGGTGTCGCTGTACAACAGCGGCGACGCGCTCGGATGGTGGTCGTATGTCTTTAGCGTGCTCCTCGACGCGATTCTCATTCTGACGGGCGGCTCCACGGCCGGGCTCCTTGTCTCGCTGACGGTCTCACTCATAACCAATGCGACGACACGCGAGCGCCTGCAGAATGTCTTTGCGGATCGACGCAACCCATTCGACCGTGGTGTGCTGCGAAACATGTGCAACCTCTTCTCGCGCCGCGATGCGCCGTCGCTCTTTAACGACGACGACTTCGTGCGGGTGTGTGCGGAGCGGGTGGAGAAGAGGGACACCAAAAGGGACGATGCGGGGGTCACGGTGGTGTAGCTGTGAGTGTGCTGTGCAGCAGCAGCAGCAGCAGCAGCCTATTTTGGCAAGCACATATAATAAGTTTTGTTTTTCGTCTGTTTTCATGTACGAGGGAGGAAGTGAGGGGGGTGGGGAAGAAATGCGAAATAAGAAGAGAGTAGTGGCGGTGTACATGCATTGTGTGTCTTCTGCACGGCGGACTCCAGCAGTGTCGGCAGCTGGCTGTTGTTGGAGGGGGGGCTATATATATATATATATATATGCGGAGAGGGTTGTGCATGTATATTAGCGTGCTTGCGTCACGGCGCGTTCATTGCCGTCTGCTCTATTGGCCCGCCAGTAGTCTCTTTCCTTGTCTTTTACTCTTTCTTCAATTCCTCCTCACTGTTCTCGGCACATATCCCCCGCGTGGGCCGGTATAATTTTCTTTTTTGTTGTTGCGTGCGGCATCCAGGGCGTATTCCACCCCCTCGCGTCTCTGCGTGTGTGTGTGTGTGTGTGTGTGTGTGTGTGGGCACCGTAGAGCACGGGTGATACACTTGTCTCTCTCTCTGGTAGTGGCGCTGCAGTCAGCAACAACAGAGGAGGAATAAGAAGAGGGAAAACACGTAGTACAACAACAATAACAACAACAACAGCAACCAAGAAGAAGGAGCGCGGGACGAGTCGCAATGGAGGGGGACACTGACCAGAAAAACAAGGGCCACAAGAGCCGGCTTGTGGGCAGCAAAGCAGCCAAGAAGGAGGAGTTCCGCAAGAAGAGGGCGGGCATCGAGCTTGAGCCCAACCGTGGCAACAACAGGAAAGCATTCCAGGGGCCCACGTCCGGCAGCCGCAAAGGGCAGAAGTTGCTGCGCAGCCTCGAGAGACGTGAGACGGCGCTGCACGTGCCAACGCTCGACAAGACGCTGCGCCACATCGTCGAAGAGCCGCCGCTGCTCGTCGCTGTTGTCGGTCCGCCGGGCGTCGGCAAGTCGACGCTGATCCGCTCCATGGTGAAGTTCTACAGCAACCGCAACGTGCAGGCGGTGCGGGGCCCCATCACCGTCGTGGCGGGCCGAAGTCGCCGCGTGACGTTCCTCGAGTGCCCCAACACGCTGACGGCGATGTGCGACGTCGCGAAGGTGGCGGACCTCGTGCTGCTGATGGTCGACGGCAGTTTCGGCTTCGAGATGGAGACGTTTGAGTTCCTCAACATCGCGCAGGTGCACGGCTTCCCGCGCATGTTCGGTGTCGTGTCGCACCTCGACCAGCTGAAGACGGGAAAGGCGCTGAAGAAGCGCAAAAAGTTCCTACGCCACCGCTTCTGGCACGAGGTGGCGGCGGGCGCGAAGCTGCTGTGTCTCGCGCCGATGGTGCGCGGCATGTACCGCTCCACCGACGTGCTGAAGCTGCACCGCCTGCTTATCTGCGTGGAGCCCAAGATACAGAGCTGGCGCAACACGCACAGCTGCGTGTTGATAGACCGCCACGAGGACATCACCGCCCCGCAGGACATCGCGGCGGATGAGAACTGCAACCGCACCATCGCCTTCTACGGCTACGCGCGTGGGAAGCCGCTGAAGCCGCAGCAACTCGTGCACATCCCAGGGCTTGGTGACTTCCCTATCGCCCACATCTCACACCAGGAGGACCCATGCGCCTTCGACGGCAACAACGGCAAGTCGCAGGGGCACAAGATGCGCCACCTCAGCATGAAGCAGAAGCGCATCTACGCCCCCTACTGCAACGTGAGCGGTGTGATGTACGACGACGACGCCATCTATATTCAAGAGGACGCGGAGAAGGAGATGATTGAACGGTCTGGCGAGGGACTGCAATACCTGCGTGAGCTGCAGCGCGCGAAGCCGATGGATGCCGGTGCTGCCGCACTCAACGTCGTCCGCCGCCCGGTCGTGTTCCGCGACGAGGACGCGATGGAGCTCGAGATGGGCGATGTGCAGCTTCCTTCCTCTGATGATGATGATGATGATGATGATGATGGCAGTAGCAGCAGTGGTAGCTCGGATGGGCGCGCGCCCATCAAGGGCCGTGGGGCCCACAGTGACTTATCGCTCTACGGCCCGCGCGATGATGAAGAAGAAGATGACATTGAGAATGAGGATGCCGCACTAGCAGGCGATGGTGAGGGTCTCGCGCCACGAAGCCGCAATGCGCCGGACGCCATACGCGAAAATGTTGTACACCATGACTGGTCCGACTCCAGTCTGCTACGCCGCTTGAAGAACTTGTTTGTCACCGGGGACTGGAAGGCAGCGGTGGGGGACGACGACAAGGGCGATGACGAGCGGTCGGCGAGTGAGGCCAGCAAGGGATATGAAAGCGAGGACGAGGAATTCGATGCCATGGCACGCGGCCTGAAGCCACTCAGGTCCTCAAACACGCTTCAGGATGATGACAATGACGATGATGAGGATGAGGAAGAGATGAATGACGACACACAAGGCGAACAACAGCTGCGACGCCCACACAACGCGTTGGCGGCAGTGGGGGGTGGATCATCATCTGCCTGGGGGGCGTTTCGGCCGGATGACGGCAATCATGGTGGCAACAGGAACAAGGGGAGGAGTGACGCAGGCGGCGACGTTGATGATAGCGACTACGACATCCTCGCCGACGACAATGGCGACAACGACGATGACGCGGCCCTGTCTGACGCGGAGCTGGATGGGCTCGTGTCGAGCTTCTTAGCGCCGCGGCAAACAGCCAAGGCATCAGCGCTGCCCTCATCTTCTCTGCGCGGCGATGGCGATGACAGTGCCATCCAGTTCTATGACCCGAACCATCGCCGTGTTGACGACAAGGACGGCGACGATGACAACAACAGCGAGGATGCTGAGGCAGCGGCGGCCATTACGGAGGGCAAGACGCTGACAGAGGACCAGGAACGACTGCTGCAGAAGAAGATGGCGAAAAAGAAGGCATTCGACGAGGCGTACGACATGGGCGACAGGAACAACACGTACACCCACTACCACCACCTGACGCGCGCGGTGGAGGAGAAGCGGGAGCGCCTCGACGCGGCGCTGCAGGATGTGGGGGAGGACGTCACCAAGAAGATCCAGCTCGTCGGCTACTTCAGCGGTCTGTACGTCCGCTTCGTGCTGGAGAACGTTCCGGTGGAGTTCCTGCGGCTCTTCGACGCCACCGTGCCGCTGATCGCCGGCGGCGTGAACGCGGGCGAGGACCAGTTCCAGATCGTGCATGCAAAGCTGAAGCGGCACCGCTGGCACCCGAAGATCCTCAAGGCGCAGGACCCGCTGCTGCTGTCGATGGGCTGGCGCCGCCTCCAGACGCAGCCGATATTTGCCACAGAGGACCCCAACGGGCGCGTGCGCTACCTCAAGTACACGCCGATGCACATGCACTGCGTCGCCGCCTTCTATGCGCCGGTAGTGCCAGCAAACACCGGCTTCGTCGCGATCCCCGTGCGGGATCAGCGGTCGCCGAACTTCCGCCTCGCCTGCACCGGCTACACCGTCGGCAACGACCACGCCACGAGCATCGTCAAGAAGCTGAAGCTTACCGGCACACCGCAGAAGATACTAAAGACTACGGTCTTCGTCAAGGGTATGTTCAACAGCGACATCGAGGCTACAAAGTTCGTCGGCGCGAAGCTCAAGTCCGTCTCCGGCATTCGCGGCATCGTGAAGGCGGTGCTGAAGGGCAAAGACGGGCTCGTGCGTGCGACCTTCGAGGACAAGATCTTCCCCTCCGATATTGTCTTCTGCCGGGCGTGGAAGACGGTGCAGCCGCCCAGATACTGCTCGCTGCAGCGCAACCTCGTCGACGCGGCGTGGGTCGGCATGCGCTCGATGCGGGAGCTGCGCTGGGAGCACAATGTCCCGCTCGCGCCGCGGCCTGACTCCGAGTACCACGAGATCAAGCGGCGCCAGCGCGACGACGACGAGCAAGACAACAGCAACGGCAAATCCGCCAAGGTGCTGCTCTCCCGCAACCAGAAGATGCAACTGCCGTTCAGCATGAAGGAGGAGTTCATCCCGCTGGAGCGGTCGACGGCGCTGGAGCAGCGCATCGCCGGTGCCACGACTGTCGCGCCGGAGCCCCGTGACATGCGCCGCGCTGCGCTTCTCGACGCCTTCAGCGACAAGGCCGACGCGATGCTGAAGAAGAAGGCGGAGGCAAAGCGGCAGGCGCGGGAGCGGCACAAGCGCGAGGCCGCCAATGAGGAGAAGGAGTACGAGCGGAACCTCAAGAAGGCAAAGAAGGAAACCGCGCGCCTCCGCGAGTTCCGCTCGCAGCATAAGTCGCGCAAGTAAGGACGAAGACGCCTCCCACAAACGCACAGAGGAAGCCCAACAAGCAGAAGAAGGTGGCAGCACGGGCAGGAGGGATGGTGCAGGCGGCGCGTGCCGCTCGTTGTTGGCAGGCACTGCTTGGGTGGCGCCAAGTTGTGTGTGTGTGGAGAGACAGAGAGAGATCGCGATAAGCATGCGCGGAGTTTTTTTTTTTTTTAAAGGCAAAAAAAGAAGGCGAGAAAAAAGGCACGACGAGTAGGCAAAACCAAAAAAGAAAAATCGGGGACGTGGATCTCTGTTTCAATCTCCCTGCATTTAACCGATTAAGCAAGGCGTGAAGTAACTGCAGTTCGGCCACGAGGAGTGGCACCACCGTGTGGTGCGGCAGCGGCAGTGGGATGTCTGCGGCCATGTCTCTGTCTGTGATCTACAGACGTGTTTTGTGTGTGCTTCCTGCTCTCTTCCTTGTTTCTTCTGTGGTTGCGCGCCGCCCCATGTCGGGAGTGGGAGAGAAGAGGGGCGTCTGAGGTGCGTGCAAACGGCACACCCACCCACCCACACACACACACACACACGTACACTCAGACCGAAGATTAGAGAATCACTTTCACACGGAGGCGGGGGGAGGAGGAGGCGGCTGTGCATATCTCTCGCCACCGCCCGCAGTCGCTGTAGTTGGCGCTCATCTGGGGCTGTTGCTCGTGCAGGGGATGTCGCGCGGGCCGCCGCTGCCTCGGCACTTCAAGCGGCTCTTCCCAGCCGGCGCAACGCTGCTGCGGAAACTGCTGGTCGGCGTCGTCGCGCTGGCGCTTCTCGCGCTCGTCATTTTACTGCCGCCAGCGAGCAGTCCGCTCCGCACTCGTGTGCACCACTACCACCGCGAGGAGATGCGGCTGCGCGGCGAGGGCCGGCTTCAGGAGGTGCTGCTGGGAGACGACACAGTCGAGCCGTGTAACAATGACAGGTGCGGCGTCGCGGTTACGATGGGTCAGGAGAAGGTGGTGGAGTTGACAGTGTTCATTGTGTTTCACCGTCGCTTGCACGAGCGGTTGTACGAGGGTCTCGCATGGCCAGCGCTGCTACCGTCTTCTGTCACCGACGCCGCCACGACGCCCACTCGCCCTGTAGCAGCAGGAACAACGACAAACACGCGAGGAGTCATTGAGAAACTACTGACGTACCGCCGGACATTTGGCAGGCGCAACGGCAACCGCATATTTTTTATAGCAACGAAGGAGCCGCTGGAGCACCGCTACTCGCCGCAGATGGTTGAGGGACGTCTGCTGCGCGAGTGGGAGATGCCCGGCTACGCGGCCAACACGAGCTTCCTGCAGATGTACAGCGCCATCATAACGGTGTACCGCAGTGGCATCGTGGGCAGGCCTCGCACGGTGGCGGGAGAGGAGTGGGTCGCCTTCCTCGAGTACGACATGCGCATTGATCAGCAGCTGCTGCACCGCATCCGACGACGAATCCTGCGGCAACCCCGGGTCAATCAGCAGACGTACCCTCATAGTCTTCAGCAGCAGCTACACAGGTTGCCCCGCTGTTGCATTTTTTATGGCGCCTCGTACAACACACTGTTCCTGCTGAACAACTCCCTTGGCCGCCAGCTCTTGCGGGAGTATAACAATTTCTTCCAGACGTCTTTCTCGCTGCTGGACTTACCGCCAGTGAGCGCAACAGGCGCATTCGTGGTGCCGGCGGAAGTGCTACACCGCATCGCACCTTTCCTTGAGAGCCTTGTCAATCTTTTGGTGGTCAACCGTAGCGCCCGCCGCGGCCTGGACGCCACAACGCCCCCTGCTTCGGAAGGCAAGCGCACCAGTAATGCATTAGCCGGTTCGCCGCTGGAAGTGATGGAGGCCGCACTGGCGCTTAGTTTGGGGCTGGAGACCGATTACGTGTATGTGGAGGTGCCCATCCGTCACATGACGGAGCGCGAGTTAGAGGAATTGGAAGATGAACACACAGACTCGTGAATGGAGAGGATACCGTCTCTCTTACTCACACACCTACTCATTTTCTCACTCGCGCATTCATTTATTGACTCATTCACTCGCCACTGCACACACTGGCATACAAAGTTTTCGTTGATTCTACACCCAAGTGTATCACTGCGGGAATGGTTGAACTGCCGTGTGTTGTCCATCATCATCATCATCATCATCGTCTTTAGTAACACCTTCCGTGAGTATGTGTGCGTACATATGTGTATGTGTATATCTATCTGTGTGCGTCTGTGTGCGTGCGTGTGTGTGATTTTTGTTTGTTTGTGGCTTGGATGGTTTGCGTGTTTGAGCATCTCCCTCCTGTTCATTGCTTTCTTCGCCCCCCTATGCCCCAAGTGCGATGTGAAATGCACTCCGTTCACTCATGGATCCTTTCTCTCTCTCTCTCTCTCCCTCGCTGTTACCTCTGGCCCTCTCTATGTGCAGCAAGTGGGGTGAAGAGGAGCGGTACACTGCCACGTGGAGCGGGTGTGACACGCTGAAATGCAGCACGGCGCCAACCGATGCCCGCCCGTGTCGCTTCTGTTGTTCCTGCAGTCCGCGCCGCCGCAGCTTACGTTTGCGGCATTCAGGGAGGACTGCAGGGCATGTGGCATGCCGTGGTACTGCACCGCAGCGCAGCAGCTTTGCGTCGCCTTGCTGCTGCGCAACCCGCTCGTGCGGCAGTACCCGCAGCGTAAGGCGAATGTCCGAGCCTTCTTGAAGCACTTCATCACACAACTCGAGCTCCCAGAGACCGCCGCACTCCTCGCCGAGTCGCCGGACGAGGACATCATTGACACGCAGCTCATGGAAGCGTACGTGGAGTGCTCGACAAGCTTCGAGGGCGACGCTCAGACATGTATGTGCTACAAGACATTCTACTCCCCTGATTCTCCTGTGGCATTCGTGCCGGTGCGTTTAGCCGTTGGCCAATTCGCCAACGTGGGCCTCGCGCTCTGGCCGGCTGCATTTGCGCTGGTGCAGCTGCTGCGCGAGGCGCCGCTCGCCGCATGCGGCCCCGTCATTCTGCCATCCAGCGGGGAAATGAGGTTGCTGGAGCTCGGCGCCGGTGTGGGGCTGACGCCGCTGATGCTGCATCGCCTGCCGTGGTACGAGCAGAGGGTGCGGCGCTGCGTTCTTACCGACTACCAGTCAGAGCTGATTGATAACATCCACTTCAACCTGCGTTCACATGGCATTGCCGTGGAGGGATCGACCGACCGAAGTTGCAACGGGGAGGGGGAAGGTGTGGTGCACGCTGCTGAAATCCTTGACTGGACAGAGCACGGGGACAACTCCATGAAGGTGCAGAGGTGGGGCTGCAATGTCATCCTGGCAGCAGACTGCGTGTACGACGTCTCTCTGATTGATGCATTTGTGACAACGGTGCATCAGGCACTAGGCGCTGTTGAAGACGCTGTTGCCATTGTCGTACAGACACACCGACAGGCGGAAACGATGCAACGTTTTTTTAACGCGGTGCGAAAAGCAGAGCTCAGTGTGCAGTCATACCGGCTCGTTCCTGTGACCGCGGAGAATTCCTTGCGGCTGTCGTCACAAGAGGGGAACGTCATTCTACGCAGCATCGTCTGCGCAGACGATTCAAACAGCGGCTTTGCTGTGATGCGTGACGAAGTGGGTGCCGACGGTAACTTTATGGGGGACTGTGCGACGAGCTGCGGGAGCGGGTGGATGGGCGCCTTCTTCGTGCAGCTGGAGGCGGTGGTGGGCGTTCACGTGCTTCGGCTCCAGAAACAGTAGGCGTGCGGCCAATATGCGGCTCTTCCAGTCTCTCTGTCTCGGTATGTGTGGGTGAGGGTTGGCAAAAACCACGTACGCCGAGACAGACAGACACACACACACATGCACACATCTATCAGCGCTGAGATTTGTGTTTTCCGCATATCAGGCCCATTTTCAATGCATTAATGAGGCCTACGAACTCTCACGTTGGCGTCTCGCTTGGTCGGGACGCAGTTGAGGTTTTGCCGTAGGTGAATAAGAGAAAGGGCAGGGGGCGAAGGACGGTGGGGCGGTGACTGATACGAGCGGTGCATTCCCCCACGCTTCACACAAGCGTATTTTCTTTCTCTTGTGGTTATCCATCGCATCGCTAAATTGTGGGAAGGGACACTTGTGGTACTACCACGACGCACACGCCCTTCCAGGTGCCTTCTCGCCATGCTGATTGCCTATGCTCATGCTCCGCTGCTGCCCTGTTCCGCTTCTTTTCTGTTCTTATCGACCAATGCATTGCCCCTCTCTCTGCTCCGTTAGATAACTGTGCCGCCTGCAGGAGCAACAAGCATCTTGCACACACACGCACATACACCTACACAGAAGGAGTGAAGGGGTAGGCGAGAGAGAGAAGAAGGAGAGAACGAGTTAGATACATACCGCTGTAAGCACACACCCACACACACCGACAGGGCCCGGCTGAGAGATGGTCTTCTCAATACCGTCGTACCTTTGCACGGGCGACCGCTACAAGCACGTTCTAGATGAGCGGGCGCAGGGCGTTAATTTCGTCACCTGCTGGCCAAAGACTGGCAAAAACCCCGACGCACTCCTCGACAAGGAGTTCAAGTACATGTACAACGGCGACCGCCGCGCTGACCCCGAGACGATGGCGCGGCGCGAGCAGATGGAGAGCCGCAAGAGGGACATGACCACCACCGGCTTCGCACACGTCGGCCCCACCAAGAAGGGCGAGGGCCTCGGCTCTTACTACGGCCTGCTGCAGCAGCAGCCCTACCCGCACATCCCCGATAATCCCCAGTCGCGTGGGCCGCCGCCGCGGATCCCGCTGATGCCGCGGCAGATCCTCACATCACCCGGCAAGCTCGGCAGCTATGGAACCCCCGGACTCGCGCTGAGCGAAATCGGCAATGAGTACATCGCCACCATCTACGACCAGCCACGCATTAACGCGAGGCGGGAGCGTGAGCTGTGGCGATCTCGGATGCCGGCGGCGCCGTTCAAACCGGGCGGGCGTCTCGGCTACACCTTCGATGAAGCGTACGCCACCGGCGCAACCACGTGCTACATCATGACGAAACCCTTCGTGGCGAAGCCGGCGGTGCCGCCCATGAAGCACTTTGAGATAGAGAAGCCGTGGCGGCCTGCAGGCTACGTAGAAGATAAGCCCACCACAATGGACTACTGGGAGGACCCGTACAACGCCTTTGATCCACGACAGGACGCCAAGTCACGCGTGAAAAAACCGAGCGATGCTGTGTTCAGGACGGGATTCCGCGGCGACAACTTCTGGTACACACAGAGTATCGTCTTCAAGCGGCTGTAGCACGCATCAACAGTGAATAGTAGTCTGGAGAGAAGAGAAAAGAAAGGAGGAGGGGAAGGTGATGGGATCAGGGACAGTGCCTGGCATGGTGTTGTGTGGCTTGTTTCTTTATCCGTGGCTGGCGCCAGCTCTCTCCACCAGGCTGTGCAGCGAGGGAGAGAGTGAGGGAAGGAAGGGGAGGAAGCGAGTGCAAGAGTATGCGTCTCCTCTTCTCTAAAGCACATCCACACCGTCAAGCCGCATGTAAACAGATTACTCTTGCAGTCCGCCGTCCTCCTTTCGTTTAATGTACTCTGACGTGATTTGATTCCCCTTTGGCGGTTGTATGTGACCCACCAGGATGAAGAAGAACCCGACGTGGGAGTCAGATCAATCCTTTTCGCAACTGCATGCACACAATTTCATGTATTCCTTTTTTTTTTCCCTTGGCAATTGTCTTTTTTTTATTTTTTTTTTTGTTTTTTGTCCCTTTTAATGCTGTTCGCTGCTCGTCAGGGTCGCCGCGAAGGTGTCGGACGAGCACACGCCGGAATAGAAGCACCACTTCGCTCTACCCCATCGTATTTTTGGGTGGGCCACGAGGGGGGTGGGGGATTTTTTTTTTTTTTTGTTTTTAGAAATAAAAAAAGAAAGGGAGCATTGCCCTCACAGAGAGGCATTTTAGAGGGACTTTCGTATTTGGCTCACATCGTTGCCGTTGTTTCAGCTGTGCGTTGCGATTCTCAGTCAGCAGCGCATGCAACAAGGCGTGAGGAAGCGGCCTCGGCAGGGCGATGACTGGGGTGCCACAGTCAAAAGCAAAAGTAGCAGCAACGACGGTAGACGCTTGCCTGGGCGTTATTCGCCATTGACCTCCAGCGGTGCATCCGCTGCTGATGCTGCTGCTCCTTCGCCTTCGGCCGCGCCAGTGACGGCGAAGGACGTGATGTGGCAGCGCAAGACGACGGATGTGCAGAAGCAGCTCATCCAGCTCGCCCACCTGTACGCGCAGAAGGCGCAGGAGAAGGAGGAGGTGCTGGACGCCATTGAAGAGATGATCGCCATGCAGGAGCTGGAGCTTGCAGCTGTCGCGGCGGACAGCGAGTCCCACACAAGTCAACACCTCGAGGAGCTGGCGGAGTTGCGTCGTCGCGAGGAGGCATGCTTCATGGAGAAGCAAAGGGCCATGGACGAAATAGCAGCGCTGCAGGAACGACGCGTGCAGCTGGAGCAGGTGCGGGAACGCATGCAGGAAGATATTGTCATGCAGTCCGATGGGTTGGAGCAGCTGCAGCGGACGTTAGGGGCACAGCGCGAGGTCACGGCGAAGGAGCAGCGGGAGTTAGACGATGCGCTCGAGAGAGAGCGCGTCATGCAGGACGCCGCCTACGGTCTCTCCGGTGAGGTAAGAGAGATGGTGGTGGAACTCCAGCAGATGCGCAAGGCCAAGGCGGCAGCTGAGCAGGAGACGAAGGAGACAGAGGTGCTGCGGCGGCAATTGTACTCTCAGTGCGAGGAGCTGAAGGGGACTATTCGCGTGTATTGCCGCGTTAAGAGTGGTGGTAGTAACAGCAGTGACGCCAAGCTGGCAGCTGAGACGCTCCGTGAGGAGTCAGTCGCATCACGCAGCACCATCAGTTCTGTGGCGGAGATGCGGCAGAGCTTTGCTGGTGCAGCAGCAACAGGGAAGGGAAAAGAGAGGCGGCGACGGGAGGAGCAGCAGTCGGTACAGCATGGGCGGTTTGTGTTCCCGCAGGCTGGCGAGGAGGTGCAGAGGACGCTGTGCCTCTGCCAGTCGCGGAGTAACGCCACCTCCACCGGTAAGCAGGAGTCACGCGAGACGTTCGTCTACGACCGCGTCTTCGATGGCAGCGCGGGGCAGGAGGCTGTCTACGCCGAGGTGGAGCCGCTCGTCAACTGCGCGATTGACGGCTACCGCGTCTGCATCTTCGCGTACGGTCAGACGGGCTCCGGCAAGACGTACTCGATGGAGGGCGACGTGCGGGATGAGCAGCGCTGCGGCATCACGCCACGTGCGCTGCGCACCATCTTCCGCCGGCAGGAGGAGCTGCGCGCCGACGGCTGGGATTACCGCCTCAGCTGCTACTTTGTGGAGATATACAACGACGTCATCCGCGACCTGCAGCAGGATCCGGCGGCGTACGAGCCCGGTGGCGCGGCGTGCGCGCAGCCGAACTACCACGTCATCAAGCACCACAGTGAGACTGGGACCACAAATATCACGAACGTCGTGGAGAAGCGCATCCACTCAATCGCGGACTTCCAGCGCTTGTACGACGCGGCTATGCGGCACCGTAGCACAACCAAGACACTACTGAATGACCGCTCGTCCCGCTCACACTGCGTGTTTGTGCTGCGCATCGAGGGGGAGAACGCGGCGATACGACAGCGCAGCGAGGGGACGTTGTGCCTCGTTGATTTGGCCGGAAGCGAGCGGATGAACGACTCCGGTGTGCAGGGACAGCAGCTTAAGGAGACAATCAACATCAACCGCAGTCTGCTGGACCTGGGGAAGTGCATCAGTGCCCTCAACAACTCCGGTAGCGTCGCCCCGTGGCGCAACTGCAAGCTGACGTACCTGCTGCAGAACTACCTGGGCGCAAAGGGCGGCAAGATGCTCATGCTGGTCACCGTCTCCGAGAAGGAGGAACACTTAGCGGAGAGTCTCANGAGCCGCGTCAACCAGACAGTTGTTGGCCCCTCCGTGAAGAGAGTAAACAACTACTGAGCAGACAGACGAAAATGCGGAGAATGGGAGTGGGCACCGAAACACCTGTGTGAAGGTGTCTTTTTTGCGCTTCTTTGCGTGCGTGCGTGTGTGATGGACGGGCACGCTTAGAGTAGATTGTGTGACGTTTTTTTTGTTGTTGTTGTTGTCCCCCTCGCACTCCTCCTGCGCTCAGGTCGTGTTAGCCATTTCCGAACCCACCCGCCACGAGCACACCCTTCTTCTCTTGTGGGGCGTGCGCCGCCTGCGCCGGTGAAAAGTGCACGCAAGCACGGTGGGGTGGGGTGGGGTGGGGTGGGGGGGGTATCACATGATGATGTTTTTTTTTTGTTTTCTTATTCTTTCGTCATTGTTGTTGTTGTTGTTTAGCGCGTGTCTTCTCGGTTTCCGGTTCTTGCTGCTCTGCTGCCTGTGGTTGCTGGCAGACGGGCTGAGCGGTGCCATCTCGCTCCCTCATTTTCTCCACTGCGCGCAGTAGTGACGGCGTTGCCAACATGACACTCGCGGAGACAGACACGGAGCACCCGTTCAACCTCATCCCTGAGCTGTGCCGCCTCTTCTACCAGCTCGGCTGGGCAACCGGCACCGGCGGCGGCATCTCTATCCGCCACGGCGACAACTACTACGTGGCGCCGAGCGGCGTGCAGAAGGAGCGCCTCAAGCCGGAGGATATATTTGTGCTCGACGCAGCAGCGCAGGTGGTGGCGCCGCCGCGCAACACAAAGGTGGTGAAGATGAGCGAATGCACACCGCTCTTCTTTAATGCATTTACGATGCGAAACGCGGGGGCGTGCCTCCACTCTCACTCCCAGAACGCGGTGCTCGTCACGCTGCTGTGTGAGAAGGAGTTCCGCATCTCCCACATCGAAATGGTAAAGGGCATTGTGAACCCTGTCACGAAGAAGGCGCTGAACTTCCGTGACACGCTCGTTGTGCCCATTATCGAGAACACGGAGTTTGAGTCCGACCTCACCGCGTCCATGGCGGAGTGCATGCGGGCCTACCCAGAGACAAACGCCGTCTTGGTGAGGCGGCACGGCATCTACGTGTGGGGCGACACATGGCAGCGCGCAAAGGGCATGATGGAATGCTTCGACTTCCTCTTCGGCCTCGCGCTGCGCATGATGGAGCGCGGCATCCCCCTCGTAAAGGACGCCTGAGCAGGCCGCGCTGGCTGCACGAGGGCCAATAAGAATGTATGTATGTGTGCAGATATACATACATAAAGGCAAATGGAAAGAGGCGACGACGGCCAAAGACACACGGTCAGCTATGTGCTGATGGTGAATCTAAACGGCGGGAGAAGTAACGCATGTGAGGATTAGACCCAGTTGTTCCCCAACTCGTAGTGGCTGTCTTGGGTTTCGAGGAAAATTACACTCTCTGCGCAAGGAACTGACACATAGAGATGCCGTGGCGTGTTGACTGCATTCAATGCCGCATATTTGGGGCATGTGAACACACGCACACACACATATATATATAAATATATATATATATATATATTTATACTTTGAACGCCAGAACTTTTGTTGTTGTGTTTTTTTTTCTTCCCCCCCTTTATCTTTACTCTCACCGCGCTCAGTGTTCTGCCAATTTCTTCGCTACAAGAGAGGAGTGGACAGAAGCAAGGCGAGGCGAGAACAACAACAACAACAAGCGCAGAAGGTCGTATCTGGTTGCCCATCTGGCGCAAAAAAAGCTGAATGTCCACGGATACTCACACGCTGCTAGAGGCGTCGGCCGACAGAGAGAGAGCAGACCATGCGCACGCGGAAGGAGCAGCAGTCGGGGACGATTATGCCCAGCCCTGCGCCGTCCTTGTGGATTCCGACACAGACGACGATATTCCAGACCAAATGATTCGCGCCAACGAGAACATGTCGGAGAGTGCACTCGACTTCGACGATGATACTCAACAGACGGAGTCCATTAACAGTTCCTTTTTCACATCCATAAAGACAGTCAACACAGCTGAAGTGCCACTGGCAAGTGTGCCCCCAACCATGCAGAACGCCAACCTGGTGCCGCTTCAGAGGCAGGCTCTCTACTGGATGCAACGGCAGGAGCGAAATGACGATGGCAGGAACGGGGCACTGCACCCACCTGAGGCTTCCCCAGGCGACAAGCTCAGTATGAAGAAGGTTAGGGGGAAGAAGGCTCGCGGTGGTATTTTTGCAGACACGCGCAACTTGGGCAAGACACGCGTTGTCATTGCTCTCTGCGAGAATGGGCGGGAGGAGCCTCACGCCGATGTCGCAGGTGGCCTTGTGGGGTCCCCTGCAACGCTCATCCTCTGCCCAAGCCCTCTACTTGCACACTGGCAAGAGGAGATCGAGGCCTGTGTGAGCCCTGCGCCGCGTGTCTTGCTGTACCACGGCAGTGACAGAAGGAACCTCTCGACACTGTGTATTGCAACAGAGTACGACTACGTGCTGACATCATACCAGACCCTGCAACACGAGCCGCTGTTTGACGATAATCTGACCAGTAAGTTGCATTTGATTCACTGGAAGCGTATCGTACTTGATGAGGCTCATTGCATTCGTGGGTTTCTCTCGCAGCAGACATCTGCATGCTTGAAGCTGTCAGCGGAGCGCTTCTGGGCCGTAACACCCACCCCGGTGGTAAAAGGCATTGACGACCTGTTTCCACTTCTTCGCTTCTTGCGTGTGCCGTACTTTGGGTCGAGGGCATGGTGGTTGTGCCACATCACGGACTCTTTGCTTCAAGCGAATGTATCAGAGACTACAAAAGAGCTGCTGAGGTATGTCTTTTCCACATACATTCTATGGCGAGCCCCTAATTCTTTGAAGCCCAATCAAAATGTGATGGATATCCAGGTCGTGAAAACCGAGACTGTCATGGTGGAACTACACGACGCGGAGCTCGAGTGCTACACGGCGATTTGCGAAGATGTGGAGCGAGATGTGGGCGGCATTCAGAGTGAATATAAACGTCTCAAGGTGATCCTTGAAACACTCAGAAAGTGTCGCCTGGGGATTCTCCACCACCGCGCCGTGTTGGGAATGTCTTCTGACCAGAGGAATGCAGAGGTCCTTTCACCGCTGCTGCTGGAGGCGCGGATGGAAGAGTTTCTTTCCGATGTCCGGGAATTAATGCCAAAAGATGTCAACTCCCTATTTGCAGAGGAAGTATTTGATTCAATCCGCGGACAAAAACTGGCGGAGGAGAGGTGCGTCATCTGCTACTTTCCGTTACGAGCCCCAGTGGTGTTGCCTTGCCTGCACATTTTCTGCAACAAGTGTGTTGAAAAACTGTTCTCCACACATCGGGTCTGTGCCACATGCAACAGCCGGGGTGTTCCCGGGGGCTACTCTGTCATTCCACCAGAACTGCTGCAACCATCTAAAGCCCACTTGCCCGAGGAAGTTGACATTTCGGCGTGGGAGCCAAGCGCCAAAACGGTGGCCCTCTTGGAGCACCTCAAACCCATCCCAGATGATATGAAGGCGGTGGTGTTTTGCGCCTCGCTGAAGTACCTTGAACACGTGCAGTTATACCTGCACCAGAACGGTGTTTCGGCTGGGGTATTTTCCCACACACTGAAGACGGAAGAGAGGAAGGACGTTCTGAGACGCTTCCGTATGGACAGCAGCGCAGAGCAAAGTATTCGGGTGCTGCTCGTCACATTCTCGGCGTGTGCGTTGGGCATGGATCTCTCCATTGCGTCGCACTGCTTCATGATGGAGCCCCACTGGAACCCTGCCATCGAGGACGACGCCATCAGCTGTTTGCAACGCATCGGCCAAGGAGGGGAGCTGCACGTGGTGAAGTTTCTGGGCGAAGGTACAATGGAGGTGAATGTGAATGCACTGGCGGAGTCGAAGCGAAAAAGCTTCGCCTCAGCGGGGCGCATCAGGCGCGCCGAACTACTCGAGATTCTCCCAGGCGTTATCAACCCGAACCAGGCGGGACAAACGTCAAGTGGCACCGGTGCCCCCAACGCAGCCCGGAGTAATATCCATAATTTGCTTGCTTCGGGTGGAACGCAGCATGCTTCTTCTGAAGACACCAATGAAGATTATGATAGTGATGAAACTGATGTTTCGGATATCTAAGAAGGTGATTGATAGGGAGACTGATGCTGGGAGGGAAGGCAAGACAAGACCACCAGCTTGCATGGTCCGACGACGGAAACCTCCGCAATTGTGTTGGAAGCGTCACGCCATATCACAGGGAGGCGTGCATTTTATTCCATGCTGCTGGTGCTCGTGTGTTTCCTCTTCCCCCTGCAGCAGATGTGTTTTTTGGGGATGCTTGCGCGTGGCCCTCCCAGACTCGGGACATGGTGACTGGAGCTACGGAAAAGAGAATCAACTAAAGGTTGGGCGTGTGTTGAGGTCTTGCTATTACTTTTCATTTCATTCCTTGCTTTACGAAGAGGGGAGGGCATAGTTTGCTTTTATAGTGTTAAGCCCTCTATTGCTTGGCACTCCCCGTGTCTCTCTCTCTCTCTCTCTCTGTGTGTGTGTGTGTGTGTGTGTGCGTGGAAGCGTGAGGGGACGCGCTCCTGCAGCCTGCTGCTCATTCTCGTTGAGTGGATGCCTTCACAACCCCCTGTTTCGTNGGGGAGGGCATAGTTTGCTTTTATAGTGTTAAGCCCTCTATTGCTTGGCACTCCCCGTGTCTCTCTCTCTCTCTCTCTCTCTCTGTGTGCGTGGAAGCGTGAGGGGACGCGCTCCTGCAGCCTGCTGCTCATTCTCGTTGAGTGGATGCCTTCACAACCCCCTGTTTCGTTTTCCGCCAGAGCTGCCTTTGTGCAAGGTGAGGGCTGTGTGTGTGTGTGTGTGGAGGAAGTAAGGGGCGGTGCCATTCTTCGCTCTCTCTGTATATTCTGCTCTGCTTGGCCTCTCCTTCCCTCCATNGTTGAGTGGATGCCTTCACAACCCCCTGTTTCGTTTTCCGCCAGAGCTGCCTTTGTGCAAGGTGAGGGCTGTGTGTGTGTGTGTCTGTGTGTGTGTGTGGAGGAAGTAAGGGGCGGTGCCATTCTTCGCTCTCTCTGTATATTCTGCTCTGCTTGGCCTCTCCTTCCCTCCATTCTGGGCTGCCCCATACCAAGCGTAGTGGGGGGAGCCCGTCTCAACGTACGAAAACAAACAAGTAAGGACAGGAATAGTAAGCTGGGAGGAGAGAAGAAAAAGAAAAAGAAGAGTCTGACGTTAACGCACAGACTCAATCCTCTCGAGCAGAACGCATAAAACACATCTACATACATACAATTCACACATACCCATACACACAGAGAGAGAAAGAGAGAGAGAGACAGAGAGTGGGGGTAAAAAAGGAGAAAAACAATACCATGCAGCACCCGAGCAAGCAACAGATTCAGCCGATCGATTCGCTGACGCCGTTCTTGGGCGGCAAGTGGTGGATTCGGGCGCGTGTGACAGACAAGTCGGATGTGCGCACGTGGAACAAGCCAACGTCGCAGGGTAAACTCTTCTCCTTCACGCTCATTGACGAGTCAGCCTCTATTCGCGCCACCGTCTTCAACGATGCGGTCGACCTGTTCGATCCCCTCATAGCGAACGGACAGGTGTACTACCTCAGCGGCGGCCAGGTGAAGAACGCGAACCGCAAATTCAGCAACGTAAACAACGATTACGAGGTGACATTTGACAGTTCAAGTCAAATCTCACTGGCACGAGATTCCACCAGCGCGGCAATTCCTCTGCAGCGCTACAACTTTGTGCCCGTCGAGATCCTCAAGCAGCGCGAGGTGGGCTCTCTCGTCGACGTGCTGGCGGTGGTGCTGTCAGTGGAGGAGCTCGGCTCCATCACGCAGAAGTCGACCGGGCGGGAGTTGGTGAAACGCAACGTGAAGGTGGGCGACGTCACCGCGGCGGTGGAGGTGACGCTGTGGAACGATCAGGCGAAGCAGTGGGGGTATGTGCCGGGCACGGTGCTTGCGATGCGGCAGCTGAAGGTTGGCAGCTTCGACGGCGTGACACTCTCAGCCACGTTCCAGTCTGCCTTCGACGTGAACCCGAACATCCCGGACGTGAAGAAGCTCGCCGACTGGTACATCTCCACCGGCGGCCGCGATGTGGCATCACTCTCGTCGCTGGGCAATGGGCCAGGCGCTGGTGCCGGCGGCGGCGAGACGTACCGCGGTCGCAAGTATTTCGACGACATCGCGGCGGAGGGCCTCGGCCGCGGCGCAAAGGCGGACTTCATCGACGTGCGCTGCGTGCCGGTGTACCTCAAGCAGGACGCGCAGTGGTACGACGCATGCCCGCAGTGCAACAAGAAGGTGATGCTGGAGGGGGCGCAGGGCGACCGTTACCGCTGCGAGAAGTGCGACCAGTCCGTCGTCCCCACACAGCGCTACCTTGTGTCGATTCAGGCAACCGATAACGTGTCCCAGATGTGGCTTACGCTTTTCAACGAGGCTGGTGTTGAGTTCTTCGGCATGTCGGCGTCAGAGTTAAAGAAGCAGCGGGAGGCGGATCCAATGTTCGTCACAAAGATCGCACAGCTGCGGATGAACCGGCCGGTGCTAATGCGGCTACGTGTGAAGGAGGAGAACTCCGCCAGCTCGGTGGGCGGCGAGGAATCCGATCGTGTGCGCATCACCGTGATGCGGCTCACGGAGTTCATGCCGCTTGACACCGTCTCAGAGGAGAAGCGGCAGTCGATGTCAGCACAGCTTAAGACAGAGTGTGACGAGATGATCAAGTGCATTGAGGCGTATTCGTAAGAGAACACCACAGCCGCGCCATTGTTTCTGCAGAGGCTTGGGTGGGATTCAGAGTGGGGCTGGGAGCAAATGCGTATATATCTGTGTGTGTGCGCGAGGGTGAGGGGGAGAAAGAAAGCAACAAGCGGGGAAGTGACTGTCCTTTTTTTTTTTTCTTGCCCACATGCAAGTGTACGGACACCATAGAAGGAGGAAGAGGGAGATTGCCGTTTGTTTTTTTTTTTTTTTT